TTAATAAAATAGATAAATAAAATAAATAAATAAATAAATAAAAATAATTAAATAAATAGTCCTGTCCTAGATATTTTTTACTTAAATGACAAATTTAGATAACAAAACAAAAACATTTTTTAAAATTTAGCATAGGCTGTTTTTTTCCCCCATCAAATACATTCTTTTTCTTCTATCAAATAAAAATAGCAGGCTACCTAAAATCGATCGCTTCATGGAAAATAAGCATTTAATTAATGCTTCGCTGTTGTTATTATATCATAAACCTCTGTCAACATTTTTAATGCAAGTCATTAGTTTAAAGATCTTGAGCTTCTGTTTTACCTTAGCTTGTCTGCTTTTATTTTCTCTCTCACTCGCGGTTTATGTGCGCACGCTGCTCGTGATGAAAGATAATGATGAGGCTAATATGTTGACTTTTTGTAAAGTATAGGCTACTATAGAATATAACAGTTTTGTTGTTTACGTGATATTGCATTAATTAGCTCAGTGTTTTATAAGGTAGTTTGCAGAGTTATCATTATGCAAAAATCAAGAAAATCTTTTGAATTTGTTTGATTCATAGATTATGTAGGCTATTTTAAAAATGAATATTTCATAAGAACTATTTTTAACTGAAATTTTCCAAATGGAAAAAGGTTGGTCTGTTGGTTGTACACTAAATCATTAAACTATAGTCTGTTGTGTTTATGAGCAGTGCCGGAGTGTGCTCTGATGGAGAGAGAATCCAGATGCTTTACTTGTGGCCGGCTTAATTCCAAAGCAGCATGCATTTCAGAAAGTTTTGTTTTGCAGCTTCCTTCTCCAAATGTGCAAATAAACGGAGGTGTTTATGACGTGGATCCAGGACAGAGGCAACCAGCATCAGCACTGGCTTGGCAACAACTCGTCTGTGTCAAACTGTGACAAGCAATATTCTTCTTTCATTTTGCTTCTTTGGCAAAATACGTCTGTAGGCACGTGTGGTTGCACGTGTTGCTGTCCCGCGAGTTAACAAATATATGTTGCACATTTATGCAGCCAATTTAAAAAATAAATGAACAAAATGTATAATTTAACTGATACCATCAATCGGTTAAAAACGCACCGTTTTACCAACTGTAAAAATCTAAACTCATTTTTTGTTTGGTAATATGCATTGCTACATGTTTCATTTAGACAGTTTTGAAAGCGATTTTTCTGAATTTTTAGATTTTTTTGAACCCTCAGTTTGTGGATGTTCAAACAATTGTATCTATCCTAACAAACCATATATCAATGGGAACACATATCCATGACAGCACAGCGCTGTTGAAGAATCAGAGACAAGTATGCTACATAAAAATGTCCTGTCAGGGTGTTATTTGATTGATTTGACAGCAGTGCGCTTGCTCCACTATTGCACTTTCTGACCTTGGGTTAAAATGAACTTGTTACTTTGAGCTTATTCTACAATGCGGAAGTGCACTCGTTGTCGCAATTGTCTTCTGATTTAGTTTCCTATGAGAGAAATAACTAGGAATAATTAACACTAGAAAACTGTCAAACTACTTGCTTTACAAACAAGTGTGTTCATGACTATACAATAAAAAATGTAAGTTTGCAACATAAAGCAGCATAATGAGATGTTTTTAGCATCTAAAAATCAATGGAAGTGATTGACACTGCAAGTCTCGAACCAAAAAAGATTCCAATGGCTACTCCTGCTCATATGTGAAAAATAAAGTCAATAGCGCAGTGCTTTCTGTGTCCAGTGTGCAGTCTGTAAAGCTGAGGGGATCTACCAAACCAGGGTGCTGCACTGTGAGGAATGGCATAACCATCGTATTTATCTTTTGACTGAAAATACCATAAAATCTTCATAGTTTAACTTTTTAATCGTACATTTATTTTAACTTTATTTAATTTAATATTTTGTTTCATTTTAGTTAGTGAAAAAAAAAAACACTGATCCCAGTTTGCAAATGATCTGTCTTGTCTACTTTATTATAACAAAAGAGTGGTGGCAGCCATGTGTAACTTGAATGTACAGTACATGGCTTCATGTATGTCTCTCTGTTCCAGTTTGTCTCGCACATTCACATCAAAGTCTTCTAAATTTGATTTCAAATAGTAACACGTTCATAGACTTAGAACATTGCTTGCATGCACATCCATGCGAAGGATAAGTAATGGCATGTCTTGAGCGAACAGACTGTTCTGACAAGGGATTTGTTGGGTTTGTCCACCTGCACAGCTCAGCTGCAGTGACGAAATGATATCCGCTGTTGTGGAGGTTTGATCTGCTTACTCATCATCCTGCATTGTGCTTCACTCTATTGTGTCTTAGCTCCCTGTTTGCTTCCATTTCCTCATTACAAACAGCAGGACTGCCAAGACAGGCAAACAGACTGCTAGAGACCTAGCAAAACACTCGTTATCTCTCACTGTCAGTGTTTTGTGATTCCTGACACATCTGAAGGCTAAATAGAGCAAAACTAACAAAAAAAAGTTCTTTTAGTTTTGGTTAAGTGGTGTCATGTCAGACTTGAGGCAACATGTATTATGTCTACTTTGATTCGAAACTGAATAGGATGAGCTTTATGTTTGAGATTTCTAGTTGTAGAATAGTCATGGATCATGTCATTGTTCTTTTTTTTTTTAAATCTGTTTTACAAGACAGGAAAAAAGTTTTTTTTTTAAAAGCCATTTTTTTCCCTATGAAATACTGTTTGTAAAACCTTGTGAAGTAAATTTTTTAATATATATTTAAGGTGCCATTGCACTACTGCATTTAAGTTAGGGATGCACCAATACTTTTTTTTTGGAACCGATCCAATCCCAAACTCTGATTATCGAATGATACAGATCTGATCCCGATACTGTGCCATCTTTTTTTTAAATGAGTTAATTAATTAATTAATTTATTTTTATTTTTTAAATTATACAGTTTCTATAGTTCTTGTGATAAACTCAAATAATATATCTTTAGTAAAAAATTACAGATCGTTAGGTCTTCTGTATGTGACAGATGGCACAATCTAAGGGTGCTTTCACACCTACACTTTTGTTTCGGAACGTATCTCGTTTGCCCAGTTAGCGCGGTTCGATTGGCATATGTGAACATGGCAATCGCTCTCTGTTCCGCGCCAAAGTAATCGCTCCGAGATCGCTTGAATGAGGTGGTCTCGGCTAGATTGAAACGAACCCTGGAGCGGTTCGATTGCAGTGAGAAAGCGATCCGATCCGAGCGCGGTTATATCACAGTGTTTTATGGATATGTAATAGGCTTACGGCTATATAAAGAGAGAATTATGAGTAGGGCGAGAAGTTTCGCGAGTCTCCGGATGCCCGCAAACGAGTGATGATCTCCCGGTAATCTCGCGTCTCTCTCCCAGTCCTCAAATAGGCATCGTCGCGCACCCTTCTCACCTCTCCCTACCGTGTCTCTCCTCAGACACGTCACGTGCGCGCACCCTGTCAATCACCACTAAACCACCACCTCTCTTGACAGCTGAGCGGGACGCTGCAAAATAAACCCTGACACTCTGACCAATGTAAGGAGAGTTTACTCGCACGTGACTTGTTTTAGCTCTTTTGGTCCGATTAGAAACTTTGCAGTGTGAAAGCGAACCGCTCCAAGAGCAAAGAGCAACAATGTAACAATTTTAATCTCTGTTTCGGAATAACTGAATCGATTCACAGGTGTGAAAGCACCCTAACTAAAAACATGCTTGTAAACTAGGCTACATTATTTGAGCATTCGTTATGGCATTGATCTGTTGTGGTCCAGCTCCTTTTTTAATATTAAGATTTTTCTTTGAAATCTGCAGTAGGCTACCACTATTGACCCTAATCGTTGATAAAATAACCAGCCTTTTAGCAAACCCTGATATTTTCTTGCAGGTTTGACGCAGACTAACCTAAACTGTCTGAGGCCAGTTTTACTTGATATGTATTTCCTCACCAAATCTCACCGTGAGGGAGATGGAAAAAATGAAAGCACATCAGCACAGAGGAAAAAATAAGATGCTCAGGACATAATCTTTAAAATAATGACGGATATTAAACATGTAGCAAATATATGACAGGTTTGTGATGCAACAAATACAATGGAGCATTAATTAAATTCTTATTTTCCATGGAGCGAAGCAAATCATCCACCTGCACAGCTGTGTTCATTGCTCATCTGTTTTTGTCTGAAAAATTATCTTTTTGAAATTAAGTTTGTTTGGTATATTGTATCTTAATTTTAATGTATTTTTTATTGGTCAGTTTTCTACAAAATAAACAAAAACTCTTGAGATGAAGTTGAAAACAAGGTCTGCTTCAGTGCCAAAACACAAACTAGTCTGTTAAATAAAATTTTATGTAAATAAAATCACAGTAAAATATTCAGTTTCATTAGCCTATTTTAGTCTTAAAATGTAAAGCTTTGTTATGGCTACACCTGGCATCCAGTACATCAGCATCTTTGACCCACAAAAATAGAGCATTTTAAAAAATGCTGACACCCCCTTTTAATTTGGAAATGCAAGTGTTCAGTTTCAATATAGACACGTTTTTGGCATAGCTATTTACTGTCATTTCTGACTGGTCTTCTGGACTATTGCGTATCATCTCATGACCATTACATTACCGCTAAACTGCTATTATGGTTGCTGGCAAAATATGCGCATGCTCAATGAGGTTATTTTTGTTACATTAGTTGAACCCGCACATATTGGTTAAAATGATTCATTATTATGATTTCAATATATCAATAGGTGAACAACCTGACCTTATAAAAAAAAGTACATTGAATTGCCAGATTGTGTTGGGAAATTATAGAGACATACTTTTTTAAACATAAAGCAAACATGAAGGTCCATTCCTGCAGTGTTGGCAAATTCTATTGATACCTTTTCAAAAAAAATAAAAATAAAATAAAAATAAAACTATTGTAATCACTAACAAATCCCAAACAGTGTCCAATATATTGTTCAGCTATCAGTAAAGTCATGTTTTGTAGCAGCATGCTGACTTGGGCCATTGTTTTGCAGTATGGAGCAGAGTTCCGGAGATTTTCAGTGGATCGAATAAAACCCGGCAAATTCGAGGAATTCTACAAACTCATCATGACCATCCACCGGATCGCAAACATGGAGGTGATGATCGGATATGCAGACATTCATGGAGATCTCCTCCCCATCAACAACGATGAGAATTTCAGCAAGGCCGTGTCCACCGCACACCCCCTGCTGCGGATCTTTATCCAGAGACAAGGTACGAGCTCACTCGCTTCCTTCCCACCTCCTTTATTCCTCATGACCCAGTTTTGCCTTGTGCTGTTTTTCTTTGAGGTGGATGTTCCTGCTTTATTTGAAGCATTGTCTAGTGACACGTCTCTAGTTGCTTGATGTTGTTAGATCATTTTAACCCAATTAATTCTACCATTCACATCTGGTAAAATGATTAATGCTAGCTTTGTCCAAAAACATCAACTTTTAAAATATGTATTATTACTAAAATGCACCGAAGTCACTCCTGCATACACATCAGCATACAAGGATGCACTGTATCATAGTTTCAGTTTCATCTGACCCCAATTATAAATCACTCAGATAGGGGTTAAAATCCTACAGAATGTAGTAAATACTAAAAGAACAATCAGGCAGATTCAACCCACAATTTCTGTGGTTGTGTGGTCAGGCAAAAGTACAGGGTAAACAGCATCACGTGATCTGTGATTGTACGCTGTGATTTTGGAGCACAGAGATACAAACACGCAGTCTCAAACGTGGCCCCCGCGCTTAGCTATTATGCTGTCACTGTTTCCTTCTTATTTTGTGTGTGTGTGTGTGTGTGTGTGTGTGTGTGTGTGTGTGTGTGTGTGGTGGAGTTGCTGTGGTCTGGAGATAACTTTCTACAGGAAAGGCTGCTGGTTTTGATGCTTGGGAAGAGAGTGACAGTTCTTTCCTGTAGAGAGACTCCAACTCTTCCTGTAAATCCCAATGCACTTTTAAAGATAAATCAGCATCCTCTACCTCAACTGTTATAGTGTGGATACTTTGGTCTGTCCTTTCAACATCTGAGAGTGTGTTTGTTCAGTTGCAGTAACTGCTTTCCAGACCGGTCAGTAATAGAAATAGGTAAATGTGTTTGGTTGTTTTAAGATATTTGGCAATGGATACATTTATCTACTTAGTTGAATACCAAAATTAGCATTAGTTCGCTGTTGTGTCAGTTGGAAAAAACTGGCATGACTACATTTTGTTGATAAATCGTTGTTTTATGTTATGCCACAGTTTCATGATTTCATTCATTTCTGCATATATATGCATCTCACAATTCGGATTTGTCTCAGGACTTTGTTTTATGTAATTGTATTTTTCTCACATTTATAACATTATTTTTCACAGTTTTGGCGTACTTCTCTGAATTACATGATAGGGCTGCATGATATTGGAAAAGTCTAACATTGTGATATTTTCTTTTTATTCTGCGATATGAATTCAATTTCATTAGATGCACTCTAACAATGACATTTGCTGTTTGTTTAAACTACTGATTTAAATTGAGCTGAAACAACACAATCCTGGAGATTTTTTTTTAGCCAACTTAATATAATATTTTTTACAGTATGAGTTGAGTAACTGTTTGAAAAGAATTTATAGTTTTAGATTGATTGGGATGATTCTGTAGGGGAGCGAGTAAAACAAAATAAACCATCTACAAGCATAGATGGATAAATTCAATTGAGAAAAAGATAAAAATGAAAAAAAATGTGTGTAATTGTTTTCAGAGGAAGTTAAAATGTGTTCTGGTATGCAGTAATTGAATAATTAAATGAAAATAATACTGCATAGTCTTCGTTTTATAAACAATTCAATAAAATTAATCGCTGTCAATTTTTCGAAGTTGCAAATTGTGTGTAGAGTAATGAAGTTTGCCCTGCGTCCTGGCGGTTTTTAAAGACACTTCTTTGGTACGTTAATCTTGTCAATACTACTGTTCAAAAAGGTCATGATTTTTATTTTAACATTCTTCAGGTGATACAAAAACACAAACGTTTCAGCACAATGCCTTCCTCAGTGTGTGACACAATCCTCTCACTCCACCCTTTCATCCAAAAATCAATCATATTGGTTAGACGGCCACTCGATGATTAAAAAACAATCTCATTTTCATTTCATTATTTCATGATTAACCACATAAGGACTATTTACCTTCATATCCAAAATATTATTTCACAGAAAAATAGCATATCAATTATTATCATTTGTTTGTGTCTACATTAATGTAATAAAAATTTGACAGTCCAAAACATTAAAAAATACATTTGACAGCCACTCGATGATTAAAGACAATCTCACCTTCACCTCAACACACATAACTAACCACACAAGAAATATTTACTCTCACCTTTAAAAACATCATTTTGACAGGAGAATAGCATATTTACATCAATACAATGTAGTTCCGACAGTCCAAAACATCAAAAAATACATTTGTTATATTGTGTCAATTAGCTAGACGGCTTCTTGATGATTACCAACAGTCTCTTTTTAATTTTAATATATCATAATCATAATCTTGTGTGGTTGATTAAATGATATTAATGAGATTGTTGTTTAATCATCGAGTGGCCGTCTACCCAATGACGCAATGATGTGATTGATTATGGGATAAAAGGGTGGAGTGAGAGGATTGTGCCACACCAAGACATTGTGCCGAAACGTTAGTGTTTTTGTATCACTCAAAGAATGTAAAAATAAAAACAGTACGAAGCAATTATTTGATGAGTGCGAATCATGACCTTTTTGAACAGAAGTTACAAATTGTACAATTTCTTATGCCTGAATGCTTTTAAAACCCTCACACAGGCACAGACCTAAAATACACAGCAAAATGATGAATTATAATACTTGCAATGTGACTATTGCGAAGGATCACATCAATGGATCTTTTATCCACTCTTCGAAAAGTGTAAATGCTGGATTGACATTCAGCACATGATCACTATGTGCCAATATTAGTAACTTTAGGTGTTTTCTAAAACAAAATCTGTCAGTGTTATTTTTATTCTCTCATCTTCCGCGCTTCACATTTTCGTGGTTGTAGCTTCTTTCATCTAAAGGCATTGACTGAGTGATTGACAGCTGATATTCACCAATCATTCGCGTTCAGTTCTAGAGCAGTGGGCCAATAAAAAGAGCACAAAGGCGGGGCAAGCGTTGCAGGCTTTTTTTTTTACTTCAAGTTCACATAACAACTGTTTATCTGTTCCTGGGTGCTAGGTTTGGTGTTTTAGGTGCAAAGATGCATTCTGCAAAAAATGTCTCCTAAATCCGGGCACGCTGTGAGGATTTTACAGTGAAAACAGTGAAAATGTATGCACTCGCCCTAATGCTTCCAAATATTTTTAAGGACGCTTAGATAAAATTTCGGGCGCATATGCGACCAAAATGGTCAAGCCCTAGCATCTTTACTTGTTATTTCCTCATAATAATAATAAAATAAGGAAGTTATCATCAATCACAATGCAAATTACAGTGAACTCCATACGAAATCTCCTTCACCAGCTGTGGGAAAAGCCATTAGAATGACACAGATTACTGCCTATTCATGCCAGAGTGATTGAAAGGTGGTAATTTGTGTGTAACTTTTATGATTTGGTTATGGGTAAGCAAAGACCATGTGGGTCAGGTAGTGAAAACAGTAGGTTATAATTAATTGATATTTAACAATGACAGTGTTTCACATTAGACATCGTACGATGCCAAATTGGTCAACATCGCCCAACCCTATTGGGTACAGTTCATGGGTGCGCACCCGAGTTCAGAAGACAGCATTCACACTAGCTAAACCTACCGTACTTTTGATGTCAAATGAACCCGGGTTTGGACCAAAAGTGCTAATGTGAAAGCACCCTAAATTGTTTTTTTCTTATTCTATTGCCAAAACAAGCAACCAAATTTCTGTAAAGTTTGCATATTATTGTTTTGTTGATCAAATGAAAAAGTTTTGCATGCCACAAATTGCTGAAGGTTATGTATTATTTTTTATTAATTAATTAATTTATTTATGACTATTGTTATTGTTATTATTTAAAACTAGACTTTGCCATCCAATTCAGTGTTTAGATCTGTTCTCCGAGCAAGTACAGCCTATTGAAAGCAGGTCACAGTCTGCTGGTATGGTGGGCATGTCACACACGCACACAAAAGAGCCACGTGAAAAGAAACAAAACCCAGAAAGAGGCACCTCAGCAGGCTGGGCTGTGCTCATCTTTCCACAGACAAACCGCTTTTCTTACCGTGCTTTAAAGGTATGAAGTTACGCTCCTCTGTGATTATTTGCATACTCTGCGGTTACACAACCGTAAAGTCCATTAATGCCTTCAAGCAAGATGCAATACATAGTCAAACTTCAAGAACAGCCTTCAAGCTGTTTTCAGTCTTGGATAGAATGTTTTGATTTTAACATATGACCACAATAAAATTAAACAAATAAAGATGTTTTATTATGTAGATTTCTTGCTTTGGTACTATTTTAAGATTGAAAATGTTCAAAAACTTTGTTTCACACAAATATTAAGCAACTTTAGCACTGATATTAACACAAAATATTTATAGTATCGCAATTAAGCATTGTAGAACACTAAATAAAAAGCCATTGTTTAAAATTGTAATAATATCACACAATTAATATTGTAAAATGCTAACAACATTATACAAACACACACTTTTCACCTTCAATAGGAATGTGCGCTTAAAAAACCCATTGACTTGCGTTTAAAAAGTTTATCTGGCCATTTTAATATTTATAATATGCTTTTTATTCTGTGTTATTATTACCATCATAAAATAAAATCCCGAATGCTGTTTTAGGCTTTTGTACACCATCATATCACCACATAAGCTTCGTTTTAAAGTTTATATAGATGGATTTAACATTTGTTTGTACTAGCGACTGGAATGTGGTCGAACCGTTCATGCATGTAAAGTTTTACTTCTCTTTGACGGCTTGGCTTCCAGGCGTGGATTACGTAAGTCGTGTTTTCTTGCAGGAGCACAAGCTTTTAAGTGGTCAGCAGGATTTGTACTATTATGCTAATTAGCTTCTTTGCTCGTATCTGTGAGTGCCATTCAGTGCTCATAGTGACCATTGTTGGACGTGGAACAATGAGGTGCTTTCTCACGCTTTGGCTATCTCTTAACCTGAGCGTGAGTAAGCTCGTAACACGCAGCGCTCGCTGGGTGATACTGGAGAGTCCCAGCATT